AGGGCTGCAACAGGGCCGGGGCAGGGCCGGGGCAGAGCTGCGACCGGGCCGCAACAAGGCGCGCGCAGGGCCGCGACAGGTCGGGGCAGGGCTGCGACAGGGCCGGGGGAGGGCCGGGGCAGGGCCGGAACAGGGCCGCGACAGGGCCGGAGGAGGGCCGGGGCTGGGTCGCAGCAGGGCCGCGACAGGGCCGCGACAGGGTCGGGGCAGGGCCGGGGCGAGGGCCGGGGCAGGGCCGCGACAGGGCCGGAGGAGGGCCGGGGCTGGGTCGCAGCAGGGCCGTGACAGGGCCGCGACAGGGTCGGGGCAGGGCCGCGACAAGGGGCCCGCGACAGGGGGCCGCGACAGGGGGCCGCAACGGGGGGCCGCGACAGGGGGCCGCGACGGGGGGCCGCAACGGGGGGCCGCGACAGGGGGCCGCGACAGGGGGCCGCAACGGGGGGCCGCGACGGGGGCCGTGGAGGGCCGGGCCGGGACGACGGGGCACCAGGCGACGGGGCGACGGGGCGCCGGGCCGGGCCGCGACGCGGCGGCTTCTACGAGCCTCTACGGGCCTCGACACGACGGGCCTCTACGGGCCGTGAAGGGGCCGCTACGGGCCGCAAAGGGGCCTCTACGGGCCGTGAAAGGGGGCCACGACGGGCCGCGAAGGGGCCTCGAAGGGCAGGCGCGACGCGCGCGTCGGGCAGGTAAGAAAATTTTTAATTTTAGTGGTGGGCCCTTAGGAAAAAATCAAACTAGCTCTGATACCATGTGAAAGGATTGAGGAATGAATGAACTAGGAAAGTGTGAGATACAAATATAAAACCTATACCAATTAGTGTCTACCCCACTACAGCCTACATAGGCTAAGTCATATATATCTGACACTGGCAGCTGCTTTAGTAGCATATCCATTAGTAGCTGCTCCGTTAGATCCATTAGTAGCCTGTCCAAACTAATAGACGGTGCCACCATCAGCCGCAGTTTAAAGCCGTCTTTTACCTCCAGCGCTATCACCAGCACTCCCATTCCTTCATCTGCCCTTTCGTCTGCCCTTTTGTCTGCCCTTTCTGCCCGGCGATTCTTTGGCAGCAAGATCAAAGTCAAACCCTACTCGTGAGTCACCTCAGCTTCTGTCACACCCCGTTTGTCACACCTCGTTTCTGTCACATCCTGTGTCTGTCACCTTTCATTTCTGTCACAAACAATCTGGTTTGAACCTTGTTCACCCTTATTCTCCACTTCCCCGCTCTCCCTTGCTGTTCTTTGAAGGCCACTCCAGCGCCGATATAAGCTGCTAGCCAGTGGCAGCGGTCAGGCAAGATGTGCTTTGATGCGCTCTCAATACACGCACATTTTTCCTTATTCTGCACTTACCCCTCTCTCCCCTCTGGTTCTTTCTCTGAAGGTCACTCAAGCGCCATTCAACCTGCTAGCCAATGGTGAGTACAAGCGGCGGCGAAACCACCTTCATGCAGCGCCTACACGCACACGTGCACGGCAGCAGCACCGCTCACTACCTCATCAACCTCCACCTTGCTGTGCCCTCCGTGCTCTTTTCCCCAAACAGGCAGTGGGAAAACGACTCTCATACAGCGACTATACGCACACATGCACAGCAGCAAAATCGCCCACTACCTCATTAACCTGGACCCGGCTGTGCCCTCCGTGCCCCCATCTTCCCTCCTCTGCCCTCCTATGCCCCCCTCTCAAATCCCATCAGGCAGTGGCAAAACGACTCTCATGCAGCGTCTGTACGCTCACATGCATGGCAGCAAGATAGCTCACTACCTAATCAACCTGGACCCGGCTGTGCCCTCCGTGCCCTACCTCGCCAACATTGACATTCGAGACACCGTCAACTACAAGAACGTGATGAAGGAGTATGGGCTGGGTCCGAATGGAGCCATTCTCACCTCACTGAACCTTTTCACGACCAAGATTGACGAGGTATGTAGCCTTATCCACCTGCTGTGCCTGTGCCTGCTGTCCCTGCCATGTCGGCTGTGCCCTCCGTGCCCTACCTCTCCAACATTGACATTCGAGACACCGTCAATTACAAGAACGTGATGAAGGAGTACGGGCTCGGGCCGAACGGAGCTATATTAGCTTCTCTAAATCTCTTGACAAGGTATGTAGCCGTCAACCCCTGCTGTGCCTCCGTGCCCGGCTGTGCCCTGCTGTCCTGCTGTGCCCTGCTGTGCCCGGCTGTGCCCTACCTGGCCAACATTGACATTCGGGACTCGGTGAACTAAAAGAATGTGATGAAGGAGTATGGGCTGGAGCCGAATGGGGCCATTCTCACCTCCTTGAGCCTGCTTACGACAAAGGTTGATGAGGTACGGTCAAACACTGTCAAACACAATCAAACACGGTCAGTCAATGGCAATCACGGTCATTCACGGTCAGTCACGGTCAACTGCAAGAACGTGATGGAAGCGTATGGTTTGGAACCCTAAACGGTGCCATTTTAACATCCGTGTGTGATAAGTCAAGTTTTGAGTTTTGGCCAGTCACTCAAAACTCGACTTATCACACACGAACGTGATGGAAGCGTATGGTTTTGGGCCAAACGGTGCCATTTTAGCATTGCTGAACCTCGTTACTTCACTATTGTTTCCCATTCTCATTATTGTCACATCACACCTCTCAGGTGATCACACTTGTTGCGAGAGTCGAGCCAACTCGCTCGACTACGTTGTCATCGACTGCGCTCGACTACCGTTTCCCATTTCGACTACGTTGTCATCGACACGCCTGCCCGGGCCATTCTAACGTTGCTGAATCTCATTTCCTCTCCACTGTTTCTCATTCCCGTTATTCTCACACTTGTCCCTTCCATTTCTCAGATAATCACCCTCGTGGAGCATCGAGCCGATTCGCTCGACTACGTTTTCATCGACACGCCCGGGCAGATTGAAATTTTCACGTGGTCAGCTTCCGGAGCAATCATCACCGAAGCCTTCGCCTCCACCTTTCCCACGGCCGTTTGTTTCGTAGTGGACACTCCCCGGGCGGCAAATCCCAGCACCTTCATAAGCAGCATGCTTTACGCGTGTACAAGACGCGGTTACCGCTGCTGCTGGCGTTTAACAAGACCGACGTGGCACGGCACGACTTTGCCGTTGAGGTATACCGTGGTGTGAGGTTACTTGGGGTTGTTAGAATGTGAGCGAATGAATGAAACAGAGAAGAGAGGTTTCACTAGCAAGCAGTTGAGTACATATAGCAAACCCTAGATTGGGCTGTACTCACTATTGAGTACCCCACTGCAGGCTAGACAAATATAACATTCTGACACACCCCCATAGCCAAAGTGGGGTGTAATCAGCACAATAAGCAAAGCAAAGCAAAAACAAGCTCAGGGTGGATCACAATGTCACCACACATTCTGAGCACAAGTACAAGTAGCAGCAGTTTATAGTTTACAGTAATAAGTAAAGCTAGAGGCTATCACAGAGGGCAAGTGAGGAGGAGGAGGCTGGACTGATAGGAAAGGAGATAGGAGGCAACGGCTGAAGCTGCAGACACACGGGCAACAGGAGCGGCGCGCACTGTGGCTACCGGAGGCGCACCTCCGGACTACAGGAGTAACTGGCTCCGCGGCTAAGACGAGCGGCAGGAGCAACGGACCCACGGGCGACTGGCGCAGCAGGCTCGCTGGGCTACCGGAGGCGCACCTCCGGACTACTGGCACTGCTGGCAACACGACTGCTACGTCCCTTCAACCTCCCCCACTGTCGCACCCTTCTTTGCACACACCCCCTGCTGCACCTCTAGCACTGCTCCACTCCGTCGGCTCCCACACACCCACCCCCCTCAGCGGCAGCTGCAGCAGTGGGAGACGGAGGAGGAGGAGGAGCAGGGGAGGCCGCACACACCCGCCACCCCCTACTCGCCACCCCCAAACCCTAACACAGGGCAGGGCCGTAGGTGGCGGGTAGGGAGGTTAAGGGGGGGGGGGGCAGGGCCGCGACAGGGCCGGGAAAGGGGGGGGGGGGGGGGGGCTGCAGGGCAGTGCCGCGACGAAGGGGCCAACGCGCGGCCCCCCAGGGCGCCACGACGGGCGACGGGGGGGGGGGCGACGCACGGCCCCCCAGGTCGCCGCGACTGGCGACGGGGGGGGGGCGACGCGCGGCCCCCCAGGTCGCCGCGACTGGCGACGGGGGGGGGGGGGCAAAGCACGGCCCCCCTGGGCGCCGCGACTGGCGACGGGAGGGGGCCGCGCGCGGCCCCCCGAGTGTACCACGCCGGGCGACGGAAGAGGGGGGGGCGCGCGGGCCCCCGATGGCGTCACGACGGGCGACGGGAGGGCCGCGCCCGAGCCCCCCGGGGTGCCGCGACGGGCTACGCGATGGGGGGGGGCGACGCGCGGGCCCACAGGGCTCCGCGACGGGCGACGGGCAGGGCAGCTCACGGGCCCCCAGGGCGCCGCGTCAGAAGGCAAACTGCCGCGCGCCTCGGGGCGCACGGCGGGCAGAAAACCGCCACGCGCTCGGAGCGCGTGGCGGGAAGAAAACACGTCGCGCGCCACGGGGCGCGCGACAGACAGGTCAGCAGCGGAAGCATTGGGTGGGTCCATCCACAGGATCGACCCGGGGGGGTCGACCTGCTTTGATACCATGTTAGAATGTGAGCGAATGAATGAAACAGAGAAGAGAGGTTTCACTAGCAAGCAGTTGAGTACATATAGCAAACCCTAGATTGGGCTGTACTCACTATTGAGTACCCCACTGCAGGCTAGACAAATATAACATTCTGACAGGGGTATCAGGGGTTTTGGGATTCTGTACAAGACGCGGTTACCGCTGCTGCTGGCGTTTAACAAGACCGACGTGGCACGGCACGACTTTGCTATTGAGGTAAAAGGGGTTTAAGGGTGTTTTGGGGCATGCACAGCTTAAGGTTATTCGAGTCTGGTGAGCGTGGGGATGTGCAGTTTAGTTGATTGGAGCCCATGGTTGGTTTGAGTGGTTTGGGTTTCCCAAATAGCTGATGCCCTGTGCTGAAGGTAACCCATGCTTGGTAACCCTCCACAGTCCTTCCCCCCTCCTATTCTCCCTCCCCCCTCTTTCCTCCATCGCCCCGCCTCTGTTAACAATGGATGCATCATGCATGACTTTGAAGCGTTTCAAGCAGCGGTGGATCGCGATCCTTCCTACGCCGCCTCGCTCTCCCGCTGCCTCTGCCTCTCCGTGCTCCCTCTGTCTCATGCTCCCCCATGCCCCTCCCCCTTCTCCCACCAGTGGATGCGGGACTTTGAAGCCTTCCAAGCAGCAGTGGATCGCGATCCTTCCTATGCCGCCTCGCTCTCTCGCTCCCTCTGCCTCGCCCTTGACGAGTTCTATTCAAATTTGCACGCTGTGGGAGTCTCGGCTGTCACAGGAGGGGGCATCAATGAATTTTTCACTGCTGTCGAGGTGGCCAGAAAAGAGTACATGGAAGGCTACAGGTGAGGCTACAGGTTGCTGTAAGGTATATATCAACCTGCACGCCGATGGAGTCTCAGCTGTTACAGGAGGGGGGATCAATGAGTTTTTCACTGCTGTCGAGGCGGCCAGAATAGAGTACACGGAAGGCTACAGGTGAGAGCTTTTTTTCCAGGGCGGCCAAAGAAGAGTGCCTTTTTTGGATGCATATCAATATGATATGCACGTTGCGGGCATGACTGCAGTACGTTTCCATTTCCTTATCTAATTGTGGCCTCCATGGCTCAATACAGGACTCCTTTTTTGACATTGCTACAAGCACTATTCATTCTTTTTGTTTCATTGAACTGTCTGGCATGCAGGGTTGACTTGGAGAAGATGAGAGCGGAGAAGGAGAAAAAAGAGGCGGAGAGGCAGAGTGCGGAGATGGCCCGGTTTCATGCGGACTCTGAGGAAGAGAAGGATGCTTTGACCAGACGAACTGGGAAGATGAAATTGGATGACAATGGAGAAGGGATAGAGGAGGAGGATGAGGATTTGATCGAGGAGGAAATGGAGGAGGATATGGAAGACGAGGACGATGACTTGTAACTGATTGCATGTTGTGACTCCATATTGACAAAAATATTGTACTTCCTTTTTCAAAGAGTTGTTAAAATGCTCATCTTGATTGTCGAAATGGCACTGTGGCGTGTACGTCCCGTTTCTCGTATCTCTACGGGAGAATATGCCACAAGTAACCAACTTGGGACTCGATAACGTGAATGGTAAAAAAAAAAACGCGTACGGTCACTGTATCGGGTTTTCTGACGGGTTTGGTAAGCGGGGTCACGGATTCAGTCACTAACAACAGGTAAAAAATCACGCGAATGGTCACACATGTAACTCCCGCCAAAAAAACTTGAAACTCAACAAAATTCCCGCTCGCGCCCAACCAATCTGCGAACTTGTAAAAAAACTAAAACCCAATCGGAATCGGAAGCGGTTTGGGAACGGATCAACCCTAAACACCTGGCGAGTTACGTGTTTAGGGTTGATCATCCGAAAATGCATCCAGGTTCTTTCTGGGTTTCATTTCGTTTTGGCGGGAGTTTCATCTGTGACCATTCGCGTTTTTTTTACCAGCTGATTGTGACTGATTCCGTGAAACGCTTTATCAGTCGCGTGAAAACACCCTTTGCAGTGACCGCACCCTTTATTTTTTTACCAAACATGTTTTTGAGTCCCATGATGGTTACGAACGGCATATTTTCCCTATCTCCACCACCACCATCAGTGCCGCCACCATTTCCGCCTCATCCCCGCCGTTCATCGCGAGTTCGCCATTCCCCGGATCGCGAATTCAGGCCACCAACCCACCGCCCGCCCCATCTCCCCTTTCCTGGCTCAATCTTCCGCTCACCAGCACGATCTCGTTCCGCGCATCCCGCCTTCCCGCACACCCCGCACGCGCGTTTTCCTCCCTGCGCCAACTGCCTTCCACCTCGTCCCGCTTTTCCCGCCGCGCGACCCGTCACCAGAGCCTTCTTAACGATCCTCTCTCTCCCTTTTCTAGAAGACGAGGCGGCGATTTTATCCCTCTTCAATTAAATGTCGTCCTCCCGATCCGTTCGGCATGTTTGTCGAGCCGCTTTCAGCCACGCATCGCGGCAACTCACCCGACTTCCGCGGCCGCCGCCATCCCTAACCGCGATCGCCTCTCCGTCCAACCTTTCCGCCCATCGTTCTGGCCATCGTTCCGCCCATTTTTCCCCACTTTCTCCCGCAAATACACCAGCTAAACCTCCGTCGTTTCCTCCCCTTCCTCTGTCCGTCAGTCCGTTGATCGTGAGACCAGTTACATCGCGACTAATTACCCCATCAGCTGGCAGCTGCTTTAGTAGCATATCCATTAGTAGCTGCTCCGTTAGATCCATTAGTAGCCTGTCCAAACTAATAGACGGTGCCACCATCAGCCGCAGTTTAAAGCCGTCTTTAACCTCCAGCGCTATCACCAGCACTCCCATTCCTTCATCTGCCCTTTCGTCTGCCCTTTTGTCTGCCCTTTCTGCCCGGCGATTCTTTGGCAGCAAGATCAAAGTCAAACCCTACTCGTGAGTCACCTCAGCTTCTGTCACACCCCGTTTGTCACACCTCGTTTCTGTCACATCCTGTGTCTGTCACCTTTCATTTCTGTCACAAACAATCTGGTTTGAACCTTGTTCACCCTTATTCTCCACTTCCCCGCTCTCCCTTGCTGTTCTTTGAAGGCCACTCCAGCGCCGATATAAGCTGCTAGCCAGTGGCAGCGGTCAGGCAAGATGTGCTTTGATGCGCTCTCAATACACGCACATTTTTCCTTATTCTGCACTTACCCCTCTCTCCCCTCTGGTTCTTTCTCTGAAGGTCACTCAAGCGCCATTCAAGCTGCTAGCCAATGGTGAGTACAAGCGGCGGCGAACAGGCAAGATGTGGTTCGATTCTCGCTGAATACACGCACAATTATACTTCTGTCTCCCGTTCCTCTCCTCTCCCATCCCGTTGTGTCCAGCTCACTCAAGCGCCGGTTCAAGCTGCTAGCCAATGGAGAGTACAAGCGGTGGCGGGCAGGCATGGGTGGTTGATGCGCGCTGAATACACGCACACCTATCCTAATTTTCCACTTTTCCTCTTCTCTCCCCTCTGACTGGTTCTTTGAAGGTCACTCAAGCGATGGTTCCAGCTGCTAGCGAATGGCGAGTACAAGCGGTGGCGGGCAGGCAAGATGTGGTTTGAGTTACTAAAAGAAATGCACACATCCCTTCTCCCTTCTCGTGTGCTCTCCTCTCATTTTAATTGAAGGTCACTCAAGCGCCGGTTCAAGCTGCTAGCGAATGGCGAGTACAAGCGGTGGCGGGCAGGCAAGATGTGACCCAGTCAATGCACGCACGTTTATCCTTACTTACCCTCTCTCGGCTCTATTTGTGTCCAGCTCACTCAAGCGCCGGTTCAAGCTGTTAGCCAATGGCGAGTACAAGCGGTGGCGGGCAGGCAAGAGGCATAACGCGAGCACCAAGGTATGTCTGACTTGAGGCTTCCCCCTCCCCTTCCACGCTTCCCCACTCCACCCTCCTCTTTTTTTTGTGGTTACAGATGGTTATACAGTTCATCTGAAACTGAATTTATGCATCATTCTTCCCTCCCTTTCCCATTTCTCGCTTTACCTCTTCACCCTCTTGTAATTCTCAAATCCGCAGACCAAGAAGCAGAGGAGGCAGCTCCGGCAGCCATCAGTGGTGCCTCCTGGTCTAAAACAGCCCATGCGATACCTTGGCTTTAAGAAGTAGCTGCCTGGCTTCAAGAGATTGTTACAGTACTTCCGGTAAAAGAAGCAGGCCAGGAGGTAAAAGCCAGATTATCACCTTGAAAGATCCAGCGGTCCATGCGTTACTGTATTTTAGGCATTGTAATTTGTGCTCCCTTTTCAAATGGTACCGGTACCAAAATTGCTGTCATTGGCTTGGACGCTCTACAAAGAAAATCCGTTTTGCATACCGTAATTAGTTGAGACTGTCCCTCCCAATACGAGAGGTCATGCCTATCACTAACGAACGACCCCAATGCTATACCAAGGAGGAAGTTGTATTGTAGGTTTTAGCACACATTTCTCGCCGGGAATGATATGGATGGACGGAATAGGATGTTACCGTACCCTGACACATGGCTCATGGGCTAGACAGTGTGAAGCAGGTATTCCGTCAGAGGCTCCTGGACCATAGTACAAACAGGCCGGTGGAGTGAATAATGATGCGAAACTATCCGGCAGAGCCCTCCGAGTCCCCAGTGTTCATCCGCAATTCGCGCTTGCGTTTCAACTCTGCAGTCAGGGGCATGTAGAAGCCACGCTCCCTCAGAGGACCTGCAGCGACAGCGCAAGCCGACCACAAGCCGAGCATGTCGATCATCTCTTCCGCGACCACCCTCGCGTCCTTGTTTGTCGCCACGCCTGCGCCGCCCAGCGCTTGCTCGATCACCCACGCACCGTGCCCGTCTGGGTTCGACTCAGCCGTCTCGACGAGCTTGCCGGATCCGTCACCCAAAGTGGTCAAGACCCAGCGAATCACGAGCCCGCATAGCACACCTACCCTGATTTTCCACTTTTCCGCTTCTCTCTCCTCTGAATGTGTCCAGCTCACTCAAGCGCCGGTTCAAGCTGCTAGCGAATGGCGAGTACAAGCGGTGGCGGGCAGGCAAGAGGCATAATGCTAGCACCAAGGTATGTCTGACCTGAAGCTTCCCCCTCCCCTTCCCTCCCTCTTCCCACCCCACCCCAACCCTTTTTTTTTTAGTGGTTACAGGTGGTTATACATTTCATTTGAAACTGGATCCATGCAACACGTCTTCTATACCTTAGTTATTCTCTACTCCGCAGACCGAGAAGCAGAGGAGGCAGCTGCGGAAGCCATCAGTGGTGCCTCCCGGTCTAAAACGTCTTAAAAGTAGGAACACAACGGAATCAATCAACTAGGAAAGTGAGTGATACAAATAGCAAACCTAGAAAGTATTGTACTCTCTACAGTGCTGCTCACTACAGCCTATTATAACAATGTAACGGTCACAAGACCAGTCAATACAAGAAGCAAAGCAAGCTCAGGATGGATCTCAAGGACACCACACAAATTCCGAGCACAAGCAAGCGGCCACAAGGCCAGTTCAAGACTTCACTAGGGTATATATAGCAAAGCACAACAAGCAGAGCAAACAGCAAGTCTACAGCAACCGAGGGCCTACCTCAACAAGCCCCAACTGCACACAGAACCTGTGGTGGTCACCAGGCGCCAAGGCCTAAGTGAAGACGTCGGCAGTGCTGGCCTCTGAGGCCACAAAGTCCAAGCGTGCCTGGCCGCATCGCTGCAACTCTCGCAGGAGGAAGTACTTCACGTCAATATGCTTAACTATGCTCTCCAGTCGAGGCTCTCGACACAGGAGGATCATGGCCTTGTTGTCAGCGTACAAGGTCGGTGCAGAGCGAGGCCTCTCACCAAGGTCGGCGATCAAGAAAGTCAACTAGCAAAGCTCCAATGCCGCCATGGCACCAGCGTAGATATCTGCATCTGCACTGGACAAAGCCACAGACGACGACCGTGTAGACCTCCACGACACAGCACCAGCACCCAGACTGAAGTAGTAACCCTGAGTCGAGCGCTGAGTCTCCACGTCGTCAGCGTAGGAAGAGTCGTAGTGACCGGTCAACACAAATGGTTGTGTCCCTCCAAGAACAAGCCCCATGCTTGATCTAGTCGCTAGGTACTTCGCCACCCTCACAGCAGCTGTCCAGTGAACAGGGCGGTGTCTCCCAGGTCCGGATGCTACACAAGCACCTAGAGCAGAAACACAAGCACCTAGACTAGAGATGCACATGTCTACACTAATAGGAGGCAAGCATCCTAGACTACGAACACGCGAGCACATAGATCCATCATCACTATAGTGAACATCAACATACAAAGCATACTGACGAGCATCGTCCATAGACAGTTCAAATACAGGAATCTTACGGGCTAGCACACGAGCCCAGCGCGGGGTGGTCGCCTCAGGACCCCAGCGCGCACGGTAGAGGTCGTCGAGGCGGCGGAAGCACCGCGCCGCAGAGTGGTCGTCGCGGCCGCAGACACAGGGGCTGCCCGGTCCGGTGACGCACCAGTGGTCGCAGGGGCCGGTGTCGCGCCGCAGGGGGCGAGGGGCCCAGCTGGTAATGCTGCTGCTGCGGCAAGCACTCCCGGGTCCTCCAGGTCCCCACTGCGGCAGAGGGCCCCAATGCTGCTGCGGACCCCACTGCACTGGGGGTCCCCATGACTGAAACTGTTGTGGTGCCTGCCACTGCTGCTGTCCCTGCTGCTGCTGCTGTCTCTGCTGTGGCTGCTGCTGCTGGGGCCCCGTACCACCGCTGGTCAAACCTCCTCCAGCAGGCGGGTCAGCACCTCCTCCAGAGCTCCCTCCGCCTGGTGCACCACCGCCACCGCCACCACTGCCGCCCCCAGGGCCGCCTCCACCACCGCCACCTCGACCACCGCCGCCACCCCCTTCCCCCGTTCTTCCCTCCCTTGCCCTGTTTCTGCCTGTCAGCGGCATAAACAGCTGCAGTGTCCTCAGAGACCGACACAGCAGCAGAGGCACGAGTAGCAGTGAAGGTAGGAAGCTGGGGGACAGCACACCCCTCAAACAGACGAGGAGCAACTGCGTCAGTGGCTCAGGCAACAGAGAGGAGGTTACTCTCGATCTTCCCGAGAGTGGTCTCGAGAAGATCAATCGTAAGCTCACTGGGGTGCTACTGGAGAAGTGCGTCACGGGCAGTGGAGAGGCGGTCAGGGAGACGAGTGGACGGTGAGCCAGATAGGAGGAGGGCCAACAAGAAGCTGAGCCTCAGTGCAAGCTGCTCGATAGCTAGCGACAAGGGAGCGCAAGTGTGTGGCTAGGTTGGAGACCATCGCAAACGAGCCTAGGTCGGGAAACACGAACGGCATGAGGATGCGGCTGAGGGAGGCAGAGGAAGGGGTGGAATAGTGTGCAGAAATAGCATCATACACCTCCTTTGCAGTCTCTACCAGGTCGAAGTGAGAGGCCTCAGTCGGTGGAAGGAGCTCGGTCAGCGTGAGTGCAGCCGGAGCGTCACGGGAGTCCCAAACGTCCCGCGCTAAGACAAGACGAGCGTAGTCCGCCTGCGCCTCCGGAGTCGGGGGGGGCACGGCATGGAGGGGCTCGGGACGCAGAGGTGCCTGGAGGGCGCCGAACGCATGGGCGTACAGGGTGGCGCCGTCCTGGCGCTGACTGGTGAGGTAGCGCTGAGTCTAGCGGAGCCAGGTGCCGAACTCTATCGGGCGCCCCTCCACATCGAAACGAAGGCGACGGGAGGAGTCCATATTGGACGCTAGGCTAGGAACGGCGGAGGTGAACCTAGGAGTCCTAGGAGCGCCAGCAGAGGAGGAGACCGGGCTAGGGGCTAGAGGCTAAGAGCTAGGTGCGACCCGGGTCGAAATCTAGTGATTGGAGCGAGAAGCGGCTGCCAGCCGCTGAGTGAAAATCCAGTAGCAGTAGGAACGGTTTTAGCTCGGTGGGACAGGGCAGTGGAGGGGGGGGGGGGGGGGGGGGGGGGGAGGAGGAACGACATGCCTAGCGCGGGTAGGGCAGGGCGCGGCCTAGGGCTAGGGCGCGGCCAAGGGCAGAGCGCGGCTCAGGGCAGGGCGCGACCTAGGGCTAGGGCGCTGCTGAGGGCGAGGTCGCGGCCTAGGGCGAGGGCGCGGCTTAGGGCGAGGGCGCAGATTAGGTCGCGGGCGAGGGCGACGGGTTAGGTCGCAGGCTGGGGCGACGTGTTGGGGCGCGGGTTGGGGTGACGGGATGGGGCGCGGGCTGGGGCGACGGGCTAGGATGCGGGCTGGGGCGACGGGCTGGGGCGCGGGCTGGGGCGACGGGCTAGGGCACGGGCTGGGGCGACGGGCTAGGGCGCGGGCTGGGGCGACAGGCTAGGGCGCGGGCTGGGGCGACGGGCTAGGGCTCGGGCGCTGGCGAAGGAGCAGGCTAGGCGCTGAGGGCGTGGAGGGCACTAGGGCGCTGAGGGCGCGAGAGTGCAGAGAGTGCGAAGGGATCTAGGGCGCGGAGGGCGCTAGGGCGCGGAGGGCACGGAGGGCACGAAGAGCGCGGAGGGCGCGGAGAGCGCTAGGGCACGGAGGGCGCGAACATGGGCTAGGCTAGGCTAGGAAACGAACCTATCTGATACCATCTTAAATTAGGAACACAACGGAATCAATCAACTAGGAAAGAGAGTGATACAAATAGCAAACCTAGAAAGTGTTGTACTCTCTACAGTGCTACTCACTACAGCCTATTATAACAATGTTCAACATTTGACAAAACGGCCCATGCGGTACCTTGGCTTTAAGAAGTAGCTACCTGGCTTCAAGAGATTGTTACGGTACTTGAAAGAAGCAGGCCAGGAGGTAAAAGCCAAATTATCACCTTGAAAGATCCAACGGTCCATGCGTTACTGTAGTTTAGGCATTGTAATTTGTGCTCCCTTTTCAAATGGTACTGGTACCAAAATTGTTGTCCTTTGTGCCTCTACAAAGAAAATCCGTTTTGCGTACCGTAATTAGTTGAGAATGTCCCTCCCAATACGAGAGGTCATGCCTGTCAATAACGACCCCAATGCTATACCAAGGAGGAACCGTCCGCTGTAGATTTTAGCACACATTTCTCGCCGGGAATGATATGGATGGACGGAATGGGATGTTACGGTGTTACCCTGACACATGGATCATGGGCTAGACATTCTCAAGCAGGTATTCCGTCAGAGGCTCCTCGACCATAGTACAAACAGGCCGGTGGAGTGGATTCTAATGCACATGAGTAGTGCACTCAACGGATATCCGTGCAAAACTATCCGGCAGAGCCCTCCGAGTCCCCAATGTTCATTCGAGTCCTGGAACTCTCATCCGCAATTCGCGCTCGCGTTTCAACTCTGCAGTCAGGGGCATGTAGAAGTCGAGCTCCCTCAAAGGACCTGCAGCGACAGGGCAAGCCGACCACAGGCCGAGCATGTCGATCATCTCTTCCGCCACCACCTTGGAATCCTGGTTTGTCGCCACGCCTACGCCGCCCAGCGCTTGCTCGATCACCCACGCACCGTGCCCATCCGGATTCGACTCGGTCGCCCCGCCGAGCTTGCTAGATCCGTCACCCAAAGTGGTCAAGACCCAGCTAATCACCAGCCCGCAGAGCACCTCCCACCCACGCGCTGCACCGACGACCCCGGCCGCGGCAACAGCGCGCGGCTCTGCGGAGCCGGCGTCTCCACGCCAGATGCTCCACACCGCCGCGCATGATGCCGCCAGCGCGGATGCGTAAATGTCGGTGGCTGCGCCTCGTTTCTCGACTGCGGCGGCGACAGTCCCAATGGCCGTGCAGATGGCCAGCACCCTGCTCTCCTCGTCGCCCTTCGAACCATTGAGAAGCTTCAAAATCATGCGGTACCTGCAAGAGACAGAACACGGTCCGCCACATCCCGTCAGCCGTGCGTGCAACCATCACATCCCGGTAAAGAGTGCAACGAAGCACAGTGCCAACGTGCACCACCCGGAACCTACCTACGCACAGTGTGCGTGAGCGCGTGGCCGTGCGTGACCGCCCACAGGCCGGGAGGGATGTGGCGCGCTTGTTTCCACTCTGGTTCCCACGCGGCCTTGGTGCTCGACTTGATCTGCAAGTCCCTGTCGACCTGCTCGCCGAACACCGTCCGCGCCATACACAGGAGGTACAGAGCGTTCCCATATCTTGTGTGCGTGCCCAGGTACCATTCCTGCCCACCGACGGTTGCTTTGGCAACCCACGTTCAGCTCTTCAGCTGCCAAATGCCGGCCAGCCTCCTTCTCTCCACATCCTTCTCACCCGCCTCGTTGGCATCACGCACAGCACGTTCCTCTGCTCCACCCGCTCGCGCCGTCCCAGCGTTGTTTGCGCGTTGACCACTCGCCGTGTCCACCTCGGTGACCACCTGTTTGTCGACCACCGTGCGCAGCCTGCCCTTCTCGTCGGCCCGGCGAGGACCCTCGTCAGCCGCACCCTTGTTCTCTGCGTGCCTTACTGCTCCGCCGCCTCCGCCGACCCCTGCTTCCGCGCCGGGGCCTTCGATCCCGCGCACGTCCCGTGTTGCGTCAACCTGCGCGCTCCGTTCGCGTTGCAGCTGCTGCGCTCCGTTCAAAGTCACGGACGCTTTCGGCAACTCCCCGTCGGCCCGTGGGCGCTTGCAGTCCGTTGATGCGATCGCTTCGCTTGCAGATGCCCGCCGCTTCGGGTAACATGCCCTTCCCGCTGGGGACGCGGCAGCTGGGGACAGCGCGGAATTGGGATCGGCGTGCTCGGCAGGGATGTTCTGTGGACGAGGGCGGCTGGCAGCCAACCCCTCCGCCCGCACCGCCCCCTCCGCCTGCACCGCCCCCTCCGCCTGCACCGCCCCCTCCGCCCGCACCGTCCCCGGGTCGTTCGCGCGTTGGCCTTCCGCGGGCGGCTCTACCTCTTCCGGAGCGTCTTTGTTGGCCCCCGTGCACGGCCCACTCTTCTCGTCGCCCTGGGACCCTGGAGGAGGAGGAGGAGGAGGATTGGTAAGCGGTGGAAGGACGGCTGCGATCGTAGGCAGGAGGGCCGAGTTGTTGCCTTCCCCCGTCGTCATCGCTTCATTTACGCGACGTTTCAGATAGTCACCCATATCCAGCCAGGCTTCCGCAAGAGCCTGCCATGTCATCCCGAATATATTGTCCCGCACATGGCCTGACGTTACGCTGTTCAACACGGCCTCCAACACCTTCACCACTACCTCGGCCCTGCACCTCGCTAATTCCTCATCCAATTTCGACATGGCATCCTGCAGCTCCGACCGGGAGACCGCACGCTCCTGTCTGGCTTTTCGTGACACACGCTTTGGACGTGCCGCAGTGGCCGCCATGTAGGCACCGAAGGCTTTGACAATGGTGATTGATTTCCAGAAGTCCCTTGAGATAATTCTCCGCTGCTTTGTTGCTGGCGTTGTTGCTTGTGTGTTGTTGCTTATGCGATACCTTAAGGTGCAGACGGCGTGGTTTCGGGTGGCGATGGTTTGCGGAAATGCATGAGGGGATGTTACATTGGGCGCCGGTCCATTTACCGTATCACCCCGGATATAAGCGCAGGCCTATTAAAAGCGCATGCGCTTACATCTGGAGCAATGCGCTTATGGCCGATCCTCAATTATAAGCGCACCCACTATAAAACCTTGTTTTATTATAAGCGCATGCATAATTTTTATTTAAAGCCTGCTAAACACAGTAACGAGTTTCAAAATTGAAGCGATCCTAATTTCTTAATCGCTTCGCTTGACTCGCGAAGACCTCAGAAGCTGCGCGTCAGGTCAAGATGTGCTGGCATAGGGGCAAACTGCCGTGTCTTTGCCCCTGTGTGTTGAAAAAAAATCGATAGCGCGCAATTCTGATTCCTGGCGCTATAAAATATTGCCTCGATTGGAATGGTACGACTGAGATGTACATTTTGATGATAAAAAATTATATATCTGTATCTGTCATTATATTAGCGCATGCGCTTATAGAAATGACTCAATTAGAAGCGCACCCCCCTAAAAAACTCTGCTTTATTATAAGTGCAGGTGCGCTTCTATCCGGGGTAATACGGTACACGGAAATGGACCAGCGAAAGCAATAGAGTACCAGTTACCCGGACCACTTGCGAAAGTGGTCCCTGCCTGGTACCGGCGTGGTTTTTTCACGAGCGCCTGGGCCGCGAATCCGTGTAGACTGTTGGAAGTGCTCTCCCACACCCTGCACGTGTGCCGACCACTGTACATGCTGGTCGTGGGTGGTGCAACCTGGGTCGCCACCTGTCCCGTGTGCTGGTCCAAACAGCTGGTCCATGCTGGTCCGCGCGGATGCTCCTGGACCGCAGCGGCCTAGTGCGGCCCAACGTAGTTCTTGCGCATACGTCCTCAGAGAGTGTCTCAAATGGCATACTCCAAGAAATGCTCAACCCTGTTCGGAAGCACAAAAAATGCTCGCCACCCAACCGAAACACAACCATACGGTAACACAACCAAAACACCATATTTTTGGTTTGGAAGAGTGGCTCGGCACTCGTGCCATCGCGTGCGACCCCCCTGCGACCAGTCAGGTATGGTAGCGGAACCACGTTGGAGTGGCGTTGTTTTCTTGGAAGGTGAGAAGTACTGTACCATCTGACTCCATTGCGCGTCCCAACATGATCACTTCACAGTGAGCTCGTTGTCACTTCACACATGGCCTTGCCTCGGGTAGATAAGGGCAGATAATGAACTGTGCTGGAAATCTTGAGAAGAAACGAGGAATGAATTGACTAAGGGAAAGTTGGGTACAAATGTAAACCCTAGAAAACTGTACCCCATATGTGCTACTTCATTATAGTTTACAGTAGCTATGTCATATAAATCCGACACACCCCCATAGGCAAAGTGGGGGAGAACAAGGGGTCACAAGACCAGTCAAGCAAAGCAAAGCAAGCTCAGGGTGGATCACAAAGTCACCACACATTCCGAGCACAAGTTCAAGGCCACAAGGCCAGTTCACATGCAGGATTACACATATATATAAGGCTAGACAAGCAAGAGCAGGTGTATATATATATGCAACAGTACAAACAACGTCAAGGGGTGAGCAAGTGAGGCAAGGTAGGCACAAGACCCAGCTGAGTACAGAAGCGCTGATGATCACAAGGCGCAAGTGCCTTGGTGAAGATATCAGCAGTGTTGGCCTGAGAGGCCACGTACGCAAGCCGCAGCTGACCACGCTGCTGTAGCTCACGAGCAAGGAAGTAGCGGAGAGCAATGTGCTTCGTTCTGTGCTCCAGTCTCTGCTCTCGACACAAAGCCAGCATGGCCTTGTTGTCTACGTACAGCACTGGAGGAGAACGAGGCGGCTCTCCGAGGTCAGTCAGCAGGTAGGTGAGCCAGCGAAGCTCCTGTGCAGCCATGGCCCCGGCGTAGATCTCAGCCTCACAACTGGAGCCGAGAACAGAAGACGAGCGGGTAGCCCGCCACGAAACAGAGCCGGAACCAAGGCTGAAGGTGTAACCCTGTGACGACCGCTGCGTAGCCTGGTCGTCAGCCCAAGAAGCGTCTGCGTGCCCAGTGAGGACCACTGGACTCTGCCCTCCAAGCACAAGCCCCATGCCCGACGTACTGCACAAGTAACGCAACACCCTCTTCGCTGCAGCCATGTGCTCCGGTCTGTGTCTCCCAGGAGCAACATAGCGTGCGAGAATGCTAAGAGGGTATGCGAGGTCAGGTCGTGTGCAGGTCATCAGGTACATGAGGCAGCCAACAAGCTCTGGGTACGGGCCACTCGACTCTACGGACTCATCCGAAGGCAGAGCTGAGAGCGAGTGGCGAGTAGGCAGAGGAGTGGCCTGAGGCGAGGAGTACGTGAAGCCGAAGCGCTGAAGGACCTGCTGCACCATGTGTGACTGAGTCAGGGTAATGGTGCGGCGTGCTCTGTCCCGGGTGATCTGCAAGCCAAGGTAGCTGCGCAGTTCACCCAGGTCTGTGCACGTGTGTCTCTTCTGCAGCTCGGACTTCACGTGGGCGAGTCCAGCAGTGTCAGCTGTGGCAAAGACCAAGTCGTCGACGTACACGAGGATGTAGAACGGCGGCAAAGAAGTGTCGGTGCGCAGAAACAGCGACGGGTCGGCAGTAGAGGGAGCAAACCCAAGAGCCGCAAGTGTAGTCCTCAGTGTGTCGTGCCACTCACGCGGTGCCTGGCGGAGACCGTAGACTGGTCGCCGGAGGCTCCACTGGGTGCCAGGAGGAAAAGACCCAGTGAAGCCAGGTGGGCGACGCAGCCAGATCTCCTCGTGCAGGCTGCCCTGCAAGAAAGCAGTGCTGAAGTCAAGAGAGTGCAGCTCGTAGTCGCGGTGAGCAGCTATGTGCAGCCATACCCGAAGAGTGGTCATCTTCAGGGTGGGAGAGAAGGTCTGAAAGTAGTCAACTCCCTGCCGCTGACTGAAGCCACGAGCCACGTAACGCGCCTTGAAGACAGGCGGAGAACCCGGCGGTCGCTTCACCCTGAAAATCCACATGCCACTGACGATGTTCGCCCCAGGCGGGGGAACCTCGTCAACGTAGGTGCCTGTGGACTTCCAGGAAGCCATCTCTGTGTCCATAGCTGCCTGCCACTGAGAGGAGTAGGGACCCTCTATCGCCTCCGCGTAAGAGCGCGGAGTCGGGATGTAAAGTGCATCCGGGTCTCCCTCAGGGGTAAGCAGTACGGACACGAGATGAGGTGAAGCAGCAGCCAAACACTGGAACTCCTCCTGCCTGTCCTCAAGGACGTCCGTGCCAAGGGCACACTCACCCCCGACGGACGGAGGACAGACAGACTCAGACTCAACGACAAGACTAGCAGCGTAGTCTAGACGACAGCGAGCAGCAAAGTCGACGAGCTCAGCAACTAGGGCAGACGCAGCAGTGGACTCAAAGGAAGGGTCAGTGACGACAGTAGCAAGGAGACGCGTGACAGTAGGACTGGCAGCACGAAGAGAGTCCGACTCCGGGTCGGGAAGAGCAGGAAGAGAGGACTCAGGAGGAGAAGGCAAAGGGGCACGCAGAGGAGCAGTGGACGGACGCAGAGACATCCGGTGCGTGCCAGGGACAGGAGGAGGACGCTGACGCGAACCACGACCACTAGAGCGAGCAGGACGGACAGGCGACGCAGGGCGAGACGCAGGCTCACGACGCTCAGCCAGACCTCCAGTAGGACCAGTGTAGGGAGAAGGAGCGGGCAGTGGGGAGGCCGGCTGTAACTGTAACTGTGACGGGACAGGCTGTGGACACTCTAAGGGAGGAGGAGGACCAGTAGAACCTGCTGAAGGAGCGGAACGAAGTACGGCCGAGGCCGCGCGGCGACTCCAGACACGGCAGGGACAGCACCAGTACCCCCAGCGGCAGCACCAGCGCCAGCAGCACCTCCAGCTCCAGTACCTCCAGCAGCACCAGTAGCACCCCCAGCAGGACCGCCTCCAGGACCGACAGCAGTAGCCTCAGCGTCAACACCCTCAGCAGCTCCAGCTCCAGTCGTACCCGCAGGCCCAGCAGCTCCAGTACTCCCAGTACGAGCACCTCCGGGACCCGCGGCACCAGCACCCTCAGCAGCCGAAGAACCTCCAGCTCCAGCAGCACGCCTCCAGCGCCGGGCAAACCACTCGCGCAGCTCCTGTGGAGAGAGTGGCTCCCGCCGAGACGAAGCACCCGGAGAACCTCCAGGCTCAGCACCGCCAGACGCCACACGAGCAGGCCCAGCTCCCTCAGGCTCCGCACCCCCAGGCTCAGCACCTCCAGGCGTAGCACCCCCAGGCTCAGCACCCCCAGGCTCAGCACCCCCAGGCTCAGCACACCCAGTAGTAGCACCCCCAGGCTCAGCACCCCCAGGCTCAGCACCCCCAGGAGTAGCACCCTCAGGCTCAGCACCCCCAGGCGTAGCACCCACACGCTCAGCACCCCCAGAGTCAGCACCCCCAGGCTCAGCACCCTCAGCAGCACTAGAGTCACCAGTAACCTCGACAGGCTCGACGGCGTCTACCTGGGACACACCTGAAGGGGCAGGACCCTGAGGGGGGAGGGGGTCTACCGGGGGGGGACCTGGCACAAGGAAGAGCGGTGGCGGGGGGAGGGACGGAGTGCGGTAGGGGAAGAGGCGGTAGTAGGGGACCGACTCGTCAAACGTGACCTCCTGGGAGGACAGAACACGGCGAGAGGTGGGGTGGTAGAACTGCCACCCTGGCGCGTCAGGGGGGAAGCCAAGGAAGACGCAAGGAGCAGCACGAGGGGACAGCTTGTCTGCAGACAAGTCGCGGACAAACGCCCGAGATCCCCAGACACGGAACGCAGACGCATCGCCAACCTTCCCCGTCCACAGCAAAGCTGGGGAGGTCTCCGGCATGGAGACCCTGGGGTGAAGGTTGATCTGATGCGCCGCGTACCGAACCGCAAACGGCCACAAAAAATGGGGGGCAGCCGCATGCATCATGGACGTACGGGCAACGTCCATGACCATGCCAATGCGGCGCTCAGCAATCCCATTTTGCTGTGGAGAGTCCGGAAGCGTGAAGGTCTGGCGGATGCCTCGTGCACGACAGTAGGCTCGCAGAAGGCCAGAGGAGAACTCTCCACCTCTGTCAGAGTGCAGACGCAGAACAGGAAAGTCCGAGCCGAAGCTCTGCCTGAGCTGGAGACGAGCTGCGCGGATCCAGTCGATCAACACCTCAGTGACATCACCCTTGCTGCGCAAGGGGAAGACTGTGGTGTAACGCGAGTAGTCGTCAACCACCAGCAGGAAGTAGCGCTCGTGACCCTGTCCACGGACGCGGGCCGGGCCCCACACGTCCATGTGAAGCGTCTGCAGCGGGGCCTCTGTCGGAGGAAACTGGGAGGAGTGAGGGGCAGCCCGCTGCCGCCCCTCGACACAAGGGACGCAGGTAGGGCCTGGCCCCGGAGAAAGGGGAGGGAGGGACCGGGGAAGACCAGAGACAAGGACACGGGAGGCCATGCCTCGGAGACGAAGCAGGGAGGGGTGACCAAGGCGGTGGTGCCAGAGGAGAGTCTCGTGCAACAGGAGGCGACACGAACAGGGGGCAGACTCAGGACCAGACCTGGACGCTGCAGCAAACACCTGACCCGACGCAGCGACCTGACCAGACGCAGTGACTGGAGGAGACGCAGTGGTCAGTGTGTACAGGCTCGACCCCGGCCGACGTGTAAACGTGGCCAGGTGTCGGCCTGTCCGAGCGTCCGTGCAGTGGGTCATCCGCTGACTCGCAGGAGTGAACTGGTGAACCCCCGCATCCTGTAGGTCAGCACCACTCACCAAGTTCGTAGAGAACGAGGGGAGGTAAAGACCAGACAGAGTGCCAGAGGGGGCCGCCGGACACGGGAGGACAGTGGAGAAGTGAGCAAGGACAGGACCCCCAGAGGGGTCTGCCAGAGAGACTGCAACTGGCCGGCCAAGCGGCGTGAGTGTGGTGCGGTCTCGAAAGAAGGAGCGAGAAGCCCCCGAGTCAAGGGTGAAGGTGTGGGAGGCCGAAGCCGACGCAGTACCTGAGAGAGCAGACTCACCAGCACCTGAGGGAGCTGACACACGAGCACCTAGAGCAGCAGCCTTGCTAGCACCTAGAGCAGCAGCCTCACCAGTACCTAGAGCAGCAGTCTCAATGCTCGGGTCGGGCGGAAAACACCGGTAACAGTCACCCTCATCACTAATAGTCACAGCATACATGGCAGCAAGAATAGCATCAAAGTCAAGGTCAAAGACAGCTACACCCGCCCTAGACAGCTCGCCCCAGCGGGGGATCTCAGTGGCCTCAGGGAACTGGTGACACCAAGCGTCCGTCAGGCGGCCAAAGCAGCGCTGGGTGGAGTGCGCACCCCCGCACTGCTCACCCGCGCGGTCGCCGGTGCGTAGGACGTAGGTGCACGGACCAGTACCCCCACCCCGCTGGCGTGCAGCGTACCACTCACGAAGCTGCTGAGGGGGGGGGATGTCACGAGTGCGCTGCTGCCGCTGCTGCTGCTGCTGCTGACGCTGACCACCACCGGAGCCGACCCTCTGCGCAGCGCCACCCCGACCAGCTCCACCTCCTCCGCCGCCGCCTCCTCCACCGCCGCCACCTCCGCCACCTCCGCTCCCACCGCCACCGCCGCCGCCGCCTCCGCCTCCACTGCCTCCACCGACACCTCCACCCCCGCCACCACTCCCACCACCACCCCCACCCCCTCCACTGCCTCCACCGCCACCTCCGCCACCCCCGCCAGCCCCTCCAGCACCCTTGCCCCCCTTGCCCTTGCCGGGGCGGCGTCTCCCGCTCGGGGCAGACGCAGCGCCGACCGACTCGAAACCAACGAGGTCGGCCGCAGCAGTAGAGGCAACAGAGGGCAAAAGGTGGGAGGGGGAACACCCCTCAAAGACGGGGGTGCGAGGGTCACCACGAGAGGCTCCTACAGCGACTATGCTCTTCTCTGCTGCTAGGAGGGCCTTCTCGAGGAGGTCAACGGTGAGAGTGGTGGGGCAAACTGAGAGGAAGTGGTCCCTGACTACGCGAAGGGAGTCAGGGAGCCGGGTGACTATGTAGTAGAGGGTGATGTACATGGGGGGGGGGTTCTTGGCGCAGAACTCAGCAGGAAGCGCAGCGCGGTAGCGAGTGTCACTAGTGCGGAGGTGCGTAATGAGGTCAGCGACTGTGGGAAAGGCAGCAAGCTCAGGGAAGAGGTAAGGGAGCATGAGGCGGCTCAGTGCAGCAGTGGCAGGGGAGGAGTAGCGCGCAACTACAGCGTCGTACAAGGTCTGAGCACTCTTGTACTGGCTAAAGTGTGCACGCTCAGAGGTAGGCAGGTGGCGACGCACAGCAAGACGTGCAGCAGCATCGCGTGTGGCCCACTGTGAGCGAACAGTGGCGTCGGCATCAGCAGCAGGGGCAGGAGAGGCACCAGAGGTGAGGTCAAAGAGGGAGAGACCGTCTGCCCTAACGCACTGTAAGAAAAGCTGCAGGTCATCTACCCAGACTTCAAAGTCAATGGCCCGACCCTCAGCGTCAAAGGCGAGGACACTAGGGGTAGCCATGACAGCAGTAGACTAGCAGTGCGAACAGTAGGGTAAGGGCAGTGCAGTGATAGAGGCGCTGCGCTTACCGGACAGGGCGGCTCGGGCGGCTCGGCGGCTCGGCGGCTCGGCAGGACTGCGGCTCGGCGACTCGGCAGCTCGGGCGGCTCGGCGGCTCGGGCGGCTCGGGCGACTCGGCGGCTCGGGCGGCTCGGGCGGCTCGGGCGGCGCGGCGACTGGGCGGCCCGGGCGGCTCGGCGGTCGGCTGCTGGGCGGCTCGGCGGCTCGGCGACTCGGCTGCTGGGCGGCTCGGCAGCTCGGCTGCGCGGCTGCTGGGCGGCTCGGGCGGCTCGGCGGCTCGGCTGCAGGGCGGCTCGGCGGCTCGGGTGCTCGGCTGCTGGGCGGCTCGGCGGCTGGTGTGGCTGGTGACGACCGCGGCAGCAGTCGCAGAAGCTGTGGCGACTGCTGCTGCAGAGACGGCTGCGGCTGTTGCCTCAGGGACGGCGGCTGCCGGCCGCTAGGGGCCGCGAAGGGCGGCGGAGAGGCCGTGAAGGGCGCCACGAGGGGCCGCCGAGGGCGGAGGAGGCCGCGGAAGGCGGCTCGAGGGGCCGTAAGGGGGCCGACGGGCGGCGGGAGGGGCCGAAGGGGCCGTGGGAGGGCCCGTAAGGGTAGCGTGAGGGGCCGTAAGGGGCCGTAAGGGGCGGCTCGCTGGGCCGTAAGGGCGGCGTTAGGAGCCGTAAGGGCGGCACGAGGGGCCGTAAGGGCGGCGCGACGGGCGCGACGGGCCGTAAGGGCGGCGCTAGGGAGCCGTGAGAGGGCCGCTAAGGGCGACGCGACGGGGCCGTGAGGGGCCTAGCGAGGGCGCGACGGTAGGGAGAGCACACAGGGCGCAACTCGGACCGGAGCGAAGCGCGATCCGGGCAGGAAAAAAAAAAAATTTCGTGGTGGTGGGCCCTAGGAATCGTTCCCACTAGGGAACCTGCTCGATACCAAGAGAAGAAACGAGGAATGAATTGACTAAGGGAAAGTTGGGTACAAATGTAAACCCTAGAAAACTGTACCCCATATGTGCTACCCCACTATAGCCTACAGTAGCTATGTCATATAAATCTGACAAATCTACCTGCAGGTTCGTGGAAGCTGTTTTCAATTCGTTTGGCCGTTGAGGTTGCAAGCGTCCCTTCGTGCCAGTTGTCTGTTGTGCGCATGTTGCGGAAGGGGCATCAGATTTTTTTTGTCATAATTTACAGCTGTAAGATCTAGGCAGTGACCCCAGTTGCATCTTGTCTGTACTGATTTTAGGCTCGGCCCATAGCTAACTCTCAATCCGATGTCATTACGTTGCGACTTGGTTGGGGGCTGTTGCTTGAAGTGCAACCGAACCTGGCGGACCAGCTCAAGAACCAGCGGCGGACCAGGACCTTGTAAGAGGGTGTCTCAAACGTCTGAGTCCACGTGGGTCCGGCTCAGACCTGCCAGACCAGCTCAAGAACCAGCGGCGGACCAGGACCAGGATGCGGGGCTTGTAACCCCATTCTACCGTTCGAATGGCACTTCAGATTGACAATGCTGGATTAATTGAGATAATCCGTTTTGCATAAATTCCCTCTAGTCACATACCACCTCTCCCTTTGACTCGGATTCGCTTATGTGCTGCACACCTCACTCTACCCTTCACAGCAGCTTCCTGGCAAGTTCCCCCACCAACAAGCGGCGCCCCACAAGTCACAACACCCACATCTCCAGCACATCTCGCAGACACTTGTTCTTGAGCCACCTGTTGCGGCACCTTCAAGGGAACCTGTTGAGGTATCTTCAGGGGAACCTGTTGAGGTGCTACAGAAATTTTTGAAACATATTTTGAACGAGAGGATGACAGTTGAGGCTCTTTTTGAGGCGCTTTCCGAGACGGCTGTTTGGGTGCCTCGAAAACTTCAGGACTTGCCTTGACCCTCATGCCCTTATGCTCTGCACACCGCACTCGCCCTTCTACTGCTGCTTGCATACAAACTCCCCCATGCGAGAGTGGAACCCCGCAGTATCTGACTGTTTCAACCTTGGGATCATCACACATGGTTCGCACACCCTTGTGCTCAGTGCACCGCACTCGCCCTTCTACTGGTGCCTTCATACAAACTCCCCCATGCGAGAGTGGATCCCCACAAACCTTGATCCCACAATCCCCTTGCCTTTTCTCAGGTGTTCTGCCAGGTGATCTGTCAGGCGTTTTGTCTGTTGGTCTACCTGGTGGCGTGCCTGGTGGTCTATCATGTGGTTGTCTGTCCTGGGGCTTAGCAGCAGAATAATTAGCATGGGCGATGGCAGAAGGAACATCAGGACGTGATGCGGCAGCAGAAGAAGCAGCACGGGAGGCAGTAGGTGAATAAGGAGGAGCAGCCGCAGCAGCGGCGAGAGGGATAGAAGGCCCAACAGCCACAGGAGTGACGAGTCGAGCGACTGGTAGGAAGGGGAAAGCCACGGCTGCACGGCGGGAGAAGGAGGACCCGACTTGGAGCTTGGTCAAGAGGCGGTCATGGCGGCGGTGGTGGTTGTTGCAGACGTTCCAGACGTAGTCGAAGGAGGAGAGGAGTAGGGTTTCCGTTGCAGCAGCTTCTGCCTTTGTGGCCGCCTGGGAAAGAGGGGAGAGAGGAATTAGGATGGGGATTGTAGCAAACGGGCACCAAGGGGCGGTTGTGGTGGTCGTTGCAGACATTCCAGACATAGTCGAAGGAAGAGAGGAGCAGGGTTTCCGTTGCCGCTGCTTCTGCCTTTGTGGCCGCCTGGGAAAGAGGAACGGAGATGGGGATGGGGATGGGATGAGGATGCGGAACGGGATGAGGTCGATGGTGGGAGAAGGACGGCCCGGCTTGCAGCTTGGTCAAGAGTCGGTCGTGGCGGCGGTGGTGGTTGTTGCAGACGTTCCAGACGTAGTCGAAGGAAGAGAGGAGGAGAGTCTCTGTTGCTGCTGCTTCTGCCTTTGTCGCAGCCTGCGAAAAAGGGATGGGGATGGGATGAGGATGGGGACCGGGATGAGGACGGGGAAGGGGATGAGGAAGATGGCAGGAGAAAGACAGCCCGACTTGGAGCTTGGTCAAGAGGCGGTCGTGGCGGCGGCGGTGGTGGTTGTTGCAGACGTTCCAGATGTAGTCAAGGGCGGAGAGCAGCAGGGTCTCTGTTGCCGCTGCTTCTGCCTTTGTTGCAGCCTGGTTATGGGGATGGGGATGGGGAAAAGGGTGGTTGTTGCAGACGGTCCAGCTGTTTCCAAGGAGGCGAGGAGGAGAGCCTCTGATGCCGCTGCTTCTGCCTTGCTGGGCGCCTGGGAGAGTGAGGGAGGGGGAGGAACGAGGATGGTGTTGAAGAGGTTATGCGGGGATGGGCGGGAAGAGTGGACAATGAGTCGAGCAAGAGATAGTTTTTTCAGAGGCGCCTAAAAAATCGTTTCATGTCTCGCGGTTTTGAGGCGCCTCAGAAGAGGTTATGCGGGGATGGGCGGGAAGAGTGGACAATGAGTTGAGCAAGAGAAAATAGATGAACCACTGCACCCTACAAACGCACCCCACCAATGCACCCCATCGGACGTCGCTTACTAAGCGAAAGCAGAGTATTTACAAGGGTCCAGCGGAAGGTGAGGGCAGACAGTCCTGTGCGAACACCCCTACAAAGAGCAATGTGGCTCGTTTCATATGGGAACAGAGAAATGCGCTCTGAGTTCCTTCCTACCCACGGCTTACAGAGGTCCAGAGGAAGGTGAGGACAGAGTCCTCCGCAAAGTCCCCTTCAAAGAGACATACAATCCCTTCTGTGATCCTTCCTACTCACGGCTTACAGTGATCCAGCGGAAGGTGAGGGCATAGTACTGCCCGAACACACCTTCAAAAAGCACTGTGGCTTGTTCACTATGGGAGCATAGAAGTGCAATCTGTGTTCCTTCCTACCCACGGCTTACAGGAGTCCAGCGGAAAATGAGGGGATAATCCTCCGCAAACACCCCTTCGAAGAGCTCCTTCAGGTGCGATCCTGACTGCCCGTACTGCTGCATCCTGCCCCTCACACTCTAATTACCGCCGCAACAACAGACAAATGCCCTCTGTGTTCCTACCCACGGCTTACAGAGGTCCATCGGAAGGTGAGGGAATAGTCCTCAGCAAACACCCCTTCGAAGAGCTCCTTTAGGTGCGACCCTGACTGCCCATACTGCTGCATCCTGCTCCTCACACTCTCCGAATGCCCCACATACACCACCCGCACCGGTAACCCCTGCAGCCGCCGCTGCCGCCGAACCACCCGGTTCGGCAGGACCCCGAGCTCGTACACGCCTGGGCCGGTTTGGCTCGGAAGATTTGCAATGCGGTACCGTGTGGTTCCTGGGCCGCCTTGGGCATGGGTTGACCAGTCGTCAGCAGCGATTAGAAGCTGGCGAAGAGGGGAGGAAAGCAATGGGAGAGGGAAGGGACGAGAGGGAAAGAGGGGAACAGCAGCGATAATCAAGTGAGAGCACACATTGAGCGTCATACAACTTCCAAGTCCAGCAAAAAAACGGAAATGGGGAGAGGACGTAGTGTGTAAGCTATACTATACATATATTCATAATTTATTACTGTACCTTCCAGTCCGAGAAAAGCACGTCGTGTGTCACCCGCCAGCATTTCTCTCTCAACGGCTTCGAGGTTTCACTATGACCAACTTCGTCGACTGCGTGCCTCATGGGGCCTTTCTTCGCTGTTCCAACGTCGCTGTTGCTGGTGCGTGAAGCCATGGAGCTGACGAATCGCGAGTTTCGTCTGTTATAACTGTGAATAATGCTAAAACCACCTGATGCGAAAACAAAAAACCAGAATGAATGGTACGGCGAGTCCTGCGTCAGCTCGCTACTTGGGAGTCTTAATCTGTGAAGAACGCAGAGGACGTCTCATGGTGTCAGGTTAGCGCAAAAACAAAATATTATTTGTCGACGCGTTTCTCGGAAGATGGAACGGAAGGAAAACTAATGTGAAATGCACAGCTATGCTGCTGAATGTCAAAAAGCCTGCTGCTGGATTGGCAGGACTAGAACAGAGTGAACGAGACGACTTGACGTGTGAGGCAAACAACTGAACCAGAGCGAACAGAGTGATGTCTCGCAACACAAAAAGAGTGAGCAGAGTGAACTTCGAGGTCCCTGTCGCCCGTTGCCACATGGCGCATCCGCGATCTGCAACGGTTCTTTCAGTCACCTTCTCAAACGCTTCGCAAGCCCCCAATTTGTTCGTGCATGGTTTCGCAACACAAGGTGTCACGACTCACCACCCCAGATTCCAGCCGTCGCTTTCGGGACTCCGTTTGGGAGTGTCTGTGACCTGGTCGTCATGGCAACGGGAATCACCATAAGAACTCAGCAAGGTTACCTTCTTGGCGAAACAGTTCGCCCAGAACTTTCGCCAACCACCACCCCCTCTTTCGTGCGCGACTGCATTTCCACGCGGGACTCCATCCCCATTAGGGCGGATCATACCTATCACAGGTCAGGTCATTTTCGGCCGATGTAACCCTTTTTTGCAGGGTAACCGCAACAAAAGTTGAACCGAATGTATCATGACTTGAGAGTTCGCCGCACAAGAACTCGCAGGAACGTGCGACATCACAGTAACTTCACGTTAAAAAACTGTTATGATTTCGCATTGTTCAACTGCCAAAGCCGCTACACCATCGCCAGTTGACACGTACGAATATTAACGACATGAGATACTTCGCAAGCGCTTGGTCCCTCTCGCCCTTCCCCTCAAAATATAACCAGCCTCTGTGGTCTCAACATTTCCTGGTTACCCTTCACGACAACAGCCTTTTCGTGCATATTAATATGTCCTCTGCACCCGTTTCGTTTCCGCGAAGGAGGTCCTTTCCGAGCACCAAATGGATACTGCTCATTAAATCGCACGATTTGGTGTTTGTTTTCCGAACTGTGGTCATTTTCGTAATTTTTGTGTGATTTCCCAAATTGTGATGAGTATGACCCGCCCTTAGTGCAAGCTGCAATTGGCGGTAGCAGTTGAGCTTCCTCCCCCCCAGCGAACCTACCGCATGACGTCATTCCAAACCGTTGGCATTTTCGAGGCTCCTCCAAGTCTCGAAATTTGCCACGTTGCCAGAATTCTTTGGCCTATCAGAGCAGGAAACGAAATTCGTGGAGATTCCGAGGAGGGACAGAATGTGCCCGAGAACGCATGGAGCAACTCGAATTGGACACATGTGACAAATACTGTATTTCTGGTCTGCTTCACACAAGTGACTGACGTCCGTGGCAGCTCGCGCCTCCAGGCTCGCTCTTATTTCAGCTGGCCTAGGGACAGGCGCTTCTTTCCTTGCCACAGGCTCTTTGCGTCCGTGAGTTGAGGACGCGTACTACTACTTCCTCCAGCCTTTGCGACGTTTCTGCCGCTCATCTGGCTGGAATGTCGGCCACGATGACCTCGCTTCAAGCCAACACGGGGGTTACCCGTGCTGCGTCCGCGTTTAGTGTCGCACCGATATCGTCGTCCGCTCACAGCAACTCGCGTTTCCTCCTCGTGCCGGCCAGGAACCATTACCCCCGCGATGGTCGGGTTACCAAAAGGCAGTCCCATTTTTCGCGAATTTCGATAGAGTTTCTCAAGGGACCATCCGTGCATCCGGGTGGAGATTCGAACTCGCTGAGTCTATGCAAAGCGAAAGAGCGCCGCGAGAGAAACGGGAGTGTGCGTGGGAGCAGGAGCCGAACTGTCATGGCGTCAATTAGCGCGGACTCGGAAGGTGGGGGTCGTCGATTAAAGCAGATTGTGATTCTCGAGAATTCTCGATTCGCAGACTTGACATTCACGCTTGAGATTTGACATGAGACATACTTGGGTTGTGGTTGTGACCGACTCGGCTTTTCGACTGACTTTGCCGAGCTACGACTCGTCTCCACATATGGAAATCTGACTTTTAAGTCGATCCAAACATGGTTCACACCTGAGACTCTGCATACGATTGGAAATCTGACTGGCCAAAACGCACACTCACGATAAGATTCTCCCATGCAGGCTTGCAATCCAATCACAGCCACTAATGTACAGAGATTCAGCATCCAGCCTTTTTTCCTTGGAACGTGTGGTTATTAAATTCCCCCTCTCGTTTACAACCTGGCATGGTGGCTTTAAGCTCAACTTTAATAGTATGACATATTCACCCTCCCTTTTTTGACCCCCCACCAGCTTCCACAACAGTCGTGTGGTTCAAGCACGACTGAGGGTCAACGACCATTCCGCCCTGCACATGCTTTCTGCTGAAACAACCGAATCAGCGCCGGTTACAAGCCATGCGATTCCGCTCTTCATTCTTGATCCGAATCTCCTGTCAGGTGTGCAAGCAGCTTTTGTCTCTGCTCTCTCCTCCTTCCCATCTTACCCATTTTACTCCAATTATTGTTGCATATCACCCTCATTTTCTCCCCACGTACTCGCCCCAGCCTTTTCTCCCCTATTGCTGAGCCTCTTCCTCCCACGTATCCCCACCTCTTATTTGCTTCTTACTCTCCCACCCGCTTCTCCTCTCGTCCATCTCCTCCCTGCGCTCCTACCTTGATTCGACTCACAGGTCATCTCTCTTCGTCTGTCTGTCCCACGTTTTCCCACCAGCCCTCCCTGCCAGCCAGCTACCGCTGCTCCTCTCATCCATCACCTGCCTGCGTTCATCTCTTCGTTCCCTTGGCTCTGACCTCGTGATTGCTCGAGGGGACCCCCCCACTGCCATCTCAAAACTGTGCAAACAGGTACGTGGGGCATTCAAAATTTCTTTTCATGTGAATTACTGCTCCTTTTATCCATCTCCTCCCTGCACTCCTCTCTCCGCTCCCTCGGCTCGGCTCTGACCTCATCATTACTCAAGGGGCTCTGCACTCATCATTACCATCGCCACAATGTGCAAGCAGGTACATGGGGAGTCCTTCCTGCTTCAAAATTCACCCCTTAATACCTTTCTCCCTTCTCTTCTTCCTCCTGCCACACATCCCCTTCCTCTCCCTCCGTTGCACAACACCCTATGCTACCCTTCCCTGCGCTCCATTCGATCCATTGTGAAATTCATTCCTCTCTGCGCTCCTCCTCACGACTACAGGTTTTTTCTGTCCGCACTGTAGTAGCAGAGGAGGAGGTGGAAACCTGCTGGAAGCTTCCTCTGGAGCAAGTCCGTTCAGCCTTGATCGCACAGGAGCAGCAGCAAGGGGAAGCAGGGGAAAAGAGGAGGGTCGCTGTGGAGACATGGAGAGCTGTGTTGCATGACTGCCAGGTATGGGTGGATGTCAGTGGATGGATTGACTAGCTTGAGAGTGTGGGGATGACGTTTGACTTGATTCAAATGCACGTCCGGTTTAGCCTTGGTTGGTAGCACAAGGGCAGCAGCAAGGGGAAGCTGTGGAGGAGAGGAGGGTGTCTGTGGAGACATGGAGAGCTGCGTTGCATGACTGCCAGGTATGGGTGGATGACTCGTCGACTAGCTTGACTCAAAGCAGGTGCGGATTGATAGAAATGGAGTTGAAGTGATTGATTAGTAAGAAAGGCACTAGGCCTTAAGTACAAACAATGTTGGGTTGAGCAAAGCTAGGGAAAGGATGGGATGGGAATTCTAAGCAAATCTCCAATGGTGATTTGACAGATTTGCTGGATTATGAGGAAATCCCAACCAGATAGGGTTGGGATCGCAAACTACACCCAACCTACAAATAACCTACTCGATATAAAATATAGTACACAAAGTGTTGACAGTCTATCTGTAACACACCCTCTAGGCTACAACATATCAGCCACAGGGAGGCCCAACACCCATGGACGAGAGGGGGCGGTAGTGGTCCTGGCGAACAAGTGACTTGGTAAACAAGTCAGCAAGGTTGCAGTCGGAGGCAATGTGTGCAGCCTTCAGCTGCTCGCGCTGCACCAGCTCACGAAGAAAGTAGTGACGGACTTCAATGTGCTTGGTGCGGCCGTGGAAAACGGGGTCTTTGGTGAGATGAATGGTGCTCTCGTTGTCACACCAAAGAGTTGGGGTTGGTTGAAGATACCCCTAGTTCTGTCAGCAGGAAGGAGAGCCAACAAGCCTCTTGGGCAGCCATGGTCCCGGCATACAGCTCTGCCTCACAGGTCGATAGTGAGACTGAAGACGACCGAGTGGAGCGCCAACTGATAACCCCGCTGCCAAGGGTAAAGCAATACCCTTGGGAAGAGCGCCGATCACTCTGGACATCAGCATAGGACGAGTCACTGTACCCCTCAAGGTGAACAGGGGAAGGGCCGCCAACTGTGAGCACATAATCCTGTGTGCCTTTGAGATAGCGAAGGACCCGCTTGGCGGCAGACCAGTGGTGGCGAGTGAAGCGACCAGGTGCAACGCAGCGAGTCAGTACGCTGATTGGGTAGGCCAAGTCTGGTCGAGTGCACATCATCGCGTAATGAGGGATCCAACGAGCTCGGGGTAAGGCTCATCACAGGGCTCAGGTGAGGGAACAGAGGGTGCAGTGAGTTGGT